CAAAATGTTACTGGTCTTGTCAAAATGTTACTAGTCTTGTCAAAATGTTTACTAATCTTGTCCAAATGTTACTGGTCTTGTCCAAATGTTACTGGTCTTGTCAAGATGTTACTGGTCTTGTCAAAATGTTACTAGTCTTGTCAAAATGTTACTGGTCTTGTCAAAATGTTACTAGTCTTGTCAAAATGTTACTAGTCTTGTCAAAATGTTACTAGTCTTGTCAAAATGTTACCAAACCTGGTGAAACGACATCCTGTCAGTCTGCAAATTTGCAATTTTTGTGAAACATCTAAATTGTCTTGTAAATTGTACTTAATTAATCCTCTCCTGTTAATCTCATTGGCTTAAACTGTTATCTTAATCCTATCCAATCGGCTTTATATTCTTATCTTTGTACATTAATCCAATGTCTTTGTCACTGACTTTGTCATTGTGTTGTTATCTTTATACAGTCATCCCACCTTGTGTTGTTAAATGTCATGATATATATATATATATTTTATAGTACTCTATGCACTTACTAAGCATTCACCTGATGAAGGAGCAAGAAGTAGCTCTGAAACGTACAAAGAATAAAAGAAATTACTGTGCATAAAAAAGTATCATGTATTAATTAATTTTAGTTAATTTAGAATTTTGTGTAATGAACAAAAACGACTTTTGGAAAGATGATAAATGCAACAATTTTGCATCAACTGAGAAATGCTTGTTAATCACCATTCCATACAGTATGTCAACATTTTGAAAAGTCGCAGCGAAGACATTTGAGATTCAAGAATGATTTAGAACAAATTATTCCAAGGTGTTGTAGCCTGTCAAAATATCAGTGTACCAGGTACGTTACTAATGACCAACAGGTGATTGACGATACATGTATATTCATGTTAGTATTTTCATGGTCAGTGGTCATGACTGACCAGTGACATTCATTACACTAATGGGCAAGTCATGAACAGAGCATGGAAGTGATGGACAGATAGCAGCTTGCAATGTCTGCAGGCAATGAACATTGTGAGGTATTTCATGATTGTTAATTTCCTTTGTTCTGTGTGACACAGCCTGTTGGTCACATGCGATTACAGGCTTGATGTTCTCTGTGATTTGGAGAATGTTTCCAGAACACAGCTGATTAATATGATGTGGGTCGTTGATTTGGATGGCTGGTACAGTTTGATGATTGGAGATAACGTGATATTTACAATCAGATCCTATTCTTGACCTGGTATGGCTGGCATGGAACCCTGTGTGGATGGATCCCTGGTTAAATGAGGTTCCCTGCAACCTGTGCTGGTTGTTAGAGGCAACGATGGATCACGTGGTCAGGCCACTTTGGGTCCTGGACGATGTTAGCCATCGTACACTGACAGTGTGGATTGTTGCTAATAATGTCACTCACTGGATTGTCTGGTCCAAACTCTAATATTTACAGGCATCCGTGATACAGTTGGAATATTGCTGAGTGTGGTGATAAACCCCAAACACCAAACACCACAAGTAATACACCACACCACACGTAATACACCACACCACACGTAATACACCACACCACACGTAATACACCACACCACACGTAATACACCACACCACACGTAATACACCACACCACACCACACCACACCACACCACACCACACCACACCACCATTCCACACCACACCACACCACACCACACCACACCACACCACATAACTCCACACCATCACTCCACACCACACCACACCACACCACACCACACCATCACTCCACTCCACTCCACACCACACCACACCACTCCACACCATACCACACCACACCACACCATCACTCCACACCACACCATCACTCCACACCACACCACACCACACCACACCACACCACACCACACCACACCACACCACACCATCACTCCACACCACACCACACCACACCACACCACACCACACCACACCAAACCATCACTCCACACCACACCACACCACACCACACCACACCACACCACACCACACCACACCACACACTGGCATGGAATATCAGTTTCATATTTTTTCTTCATTTTCTGTACAGGTTAAAGTCAAATGCCTTTCTTCTTTTGTACCAGTTATTCTTAGAAGTTATTTTGCCTAAGATCTTTCCATAATGTCACATGTCAAGAATGTGTCACAAGCTTGACATTTACTGATGTCAATTTCAGTACTTAGGTGTCCATTTCACCTTTAAACCTTTACACCATGTAGGTGCTTTTGCCACTGAACCCACTTAGTGCTCTGGCTAATGGCTATTACATCTTGCTCTGCTGTGGTCATCCTTGACTGAGATAGGGCTTTCCGTGCTACATGACCCAGAAATGTTGAAGATGTCAAGAGGGGTGTCTATTTCACTTCCGTAACACAGCATCCAGTTGAGTGTGTTCTCTCTCAATCTAGGTATCATTAACCACAAATGTTGTAACAGAATCTTCTTTTTAACTTGAGATAGTCATGGTTGATAGTCTGAGTGAATGAATGATGTTTTATGTCACAGTTGTCAAATTCCAGCCAAATAACCGTGGCCTGTACAAATTCATCTGGGCCAAGCACAGAAGTGGTTTATGGCACAGCAGCATGTTTGTTTGTTTGTTTTTTAACACCGCACTCAGCAATATTCCAGCTATATGACAGCGGTCTGTAAAATAATCGAGTCTGGACCAGACAATCCAGTGATTGACATCATGAGCATCGAGCCACGCAATTGGGATCGATGACATGTATCAACCATGTCAGCGAGCCTGACCACCCGATCCTGTTAGTCGCCTTTTACGACAAGCATAGTCGCCTTTTACGGCAAGTATGGGTTGCTGAAGACCTATTCTTCCCCCGGAATCTTCACGGGTCTCACAGCAGCATGTGTAATTAAGGGATGGTCCTTGACGTCTTCTGTGTTATTTAAATCTAGGGACCCCTTACTCTAGACTTAAACATTGGGGTAATGACAAGGGCTCCTTGACATTATGTGAGTAATTTTGTACTGTGCATTGGTAACCACCCTGGTGTCAGAGAACAGTGGCACACATTCAGCGTGGTGACATTGTGACCATCCAATCCCTTTTTAGTCACCTTTTACTCCAAGCATGTTGTACTGGGGACCCATCTCCCCTGGAATCCCTTTGCATTTGTCCATGTATTTGGTGCTTTGATGGTAGTCATTCTTGAATACCTGACATCCTTGACAGATTATGATATTAATAATGTTAAATGATTTAAGATTCATGTGGTGTATGTCCCCTATCCAAGACCCGTGAAGATTCCGGGGTAGAACAGGTCTTCAGCAACCCATGCTTGCAGTAAAAGGCGACTATGCTTGTCGTAAAAGGCGACTAACGGGATCCGGTGGTCAGGCTCGGTGACTTGGTTGAAGCATGTCATCGATCCCAATTGAGTGGATCGATGCTCATGATGTCAATCACTGGATTGTCTGGTCCAGACTCGATTATTTTACAGACCGCCGTCATATAGCTGTAATATTGCTGAGTGCGGCGTTAAACAACCAACCAACCAACCCCCATCCAAAACTTCACAATTTGTCAATTTAAATAAACTCCGGCATAAACTTAGTTTTGTGTGTGTTCAAATGGCTCAGCACTCTTGTACTAGCCTGCAGACAAGACAACACACGGCATATTTTACCTTCAATGAAAGGCTAGGCTAACCCTTACTTGTAAGAAAAGACAAATGACTGGCTCCAGGCCAGTGATAATTGATAGTACAACACATCGCTAGGTGACCCACAGGGCAGATTGGCATTTAATAGCTAACATGATCAAAGCTGTGACAAATCTGTGTTGAAAGAGGGCTCTTTATAACAGAAGGAAGTTATGTATTGTGTTTGAATTAAATACTGCTCTAGTCTTATGATCAAACCCAAATTGATAATGGTTCAGGTATTGGACAAATTTATATGTGTTCCTATAAAATTTGTCATATGGACTCGTGACCAAATGCTTGTATTGGTCTGAGTAGAGTTTAATGGTTCATGTCATGGTCATGATGGTGACTGTAAATGCATGATAAGTTTACAAATGTAAAAAAATATTTAGATTTTACTAAAACTGGGCCAGACAGACTAGTGACAAAGAGTTAGCAATGTACCATTGTTTGAGACCCGTGAAGATTCCGGGGTAGAATAGGTCTTCAGCAACCCATGTTTGCCGTAAAAGGTGACTATGCTTGCCGTAAAAGGTGACTGTGCTTGTGGTGAGAGGCGACTAACGGGATCGGGTGGTCAGGCTTGCTGACTTGGTTGATGCATGTCATCGATCCCAATTGAGTGGATCGATGCTCATGATATTAATCACTGGATTGTCTGGTCCAGACTCGATTATTTACAGACCGCCTTCATATAGCTGGAATATTGCTGAGTGCGGCGTTAAACAACAAACCAAACCAAAACCCCAAAAAACCATTGTTTTGAAGTGGGTTAGAAATGGTCTCTCGTCTGTTGTGAGAGGGGGAAGGTACGTGGGGTGGTACGGTGACATAGTTGATGCATGTTATTGTAGCCTGACAGTGATGTGCATTGTTCATAACATCAATAACCGGTTAATCTCTCCCAGACTCTATTATTACAGGCGTGATATATCATTGAATAGTGCTGAGCGTGGCGCTTTCCTTGCATCTGAAGCTGACATGCTGGGGAATCTATCTTCTCTCTCTTTCGGGGCGGTGGATAGCCAAGTGGTTAAAGCGTTGGCTCGTCACACCAAAGACCCGGGTTCGATTCCCCACATGGGTACAATGTGTGAAGCCCATTTTCCGATGTCCCCTGCAGTGATATTGCTGGAATATTGCAAAAAGTGGCATAAAACATCACTCACTCACTCACTCACTCACTCGTACTGACCAATATTTTTTGGACATGTAATAATGATATTGACATCTGAAAAGCTGTCAAGATTTCATTCTCTTCATTTGCCAGTTTCCCTTCATGTTAGATGTAACTAGGAATGTTGCAGGTGTTCTACTACCAACTGTCTGTTGTCCATTGCAGCCATGGGACACCTCCACCTGTCGTTTGAGTACCACATCCACAAGGGCTCACTCAAGATCAGGGTGTGGCAAATCTCCGACCTGCTCCTCCCCCCACGTAAGTACATGTGAAATAACATAGTAAATATTCTCTTACAAATAGCAATTGTGGCCCATATTTTAGTAGAAATCCATAATGAGAATAGCTATCATTTGCTGAAGGTCACTGCACATTATCACAAAATTATTAATTTAACGGGGGATAAATTGTACACACATACAAACTGTCATACGTTTTATATTGTGTAATGATCATTGAATGCAATCTTTAAGCTGGGTTAGAAATTAGCCCTAGTCCTGTAGTCCTTGCCAAACTGCCCAATAGTTAAGGTATCATAAGGACTAGTAGAAATATGCCATTTTTAAGTGATTTGCTATTTGTTATCATTATAAGGACTAGTGGACTAAGAATGTTAAAGGTGTTTAAGGATACATCAAATGTGTCCAATAAGATAGATAAGATAAGATAATATTTATTGCAGAAACGTTCCATTACGGGACAGATGCAATTTTAAAAGACAAGACATTATGATTCATATATACATATATACAGACCAGTTTTACAGATACGTAAACATCCGTCTTTAAAATCAGGGAGGAAAGAATGTTATAAAAACAAACAATGAGAGATTGTTACGATCCTGTTTAGTGCTGCTAAAGCATGTTAATCTTGGGACCATCCAAATTTTGACTTTGAACCACTTTGACCTTTTGACTTTCATGCTTAATTTCCAACACTGCATTACCTGGTCACGCCGCCTACTCCCAACACAAGCAGTACGTCTGTATGAGTTACAGGACCACCCAAGGCGTGACTGCTAGGTCCTGTCTAGTGTCATGTCCGCTCTGGTTTTACATCCTTTGACCAGATAAGTACTTTGTCGGTCAGTCTGTCCACACTTGTGTCCAGTCAGGACTGGAGCGTCATCAGATCTGATTGATGTGGTTGCAGAACTTCAAGGAAGCAGGCCATCTTTCCAAAATATAATCTCAGCAAAATGATATTTGAAAGCCTCTGTTTCAATGGAAGTTTCAACAGATTGCTTAATGGAACAGGGGCCAAGACATTACTTTGATGTCAATGAACCCAATCCATAGTTGGCTTGCCGTAAAAGGCGACAATGCTTGTCACAAGAGGCGACTTACGGGATTGGGTGGTCAGGCTCGCTGACTTGGTTGATGCATGTCATCGTGTCCCACTTGCGTGGATGTGAGATGGGCCCCCACCTGAGATAAGGTCACTCGTACTCATGTCTGATGTCAGTGAATCGCAGATTTCTGCAACTCTCACAAAAACTCTCTCACATTTATTTGTCAAAGAAATAATACAATATTATCTACAGTTTATATTGACAATAATATACTTAATAGTATTCTGACATTAGAATAATTGTAAAACAAATATATTAAATGGTCAGATTTTGAGGAAAACTGTGCTAATTTTGGACAAAATTAGCTGTTTTTTTTACAGCAAGATTTTTGAATGTACATTTTTTTAATATTTACTTTCTTACAAAAGTGTTTGTAACATCTTGTGGAGAAGTGACGGGTAGCCTGCAGAAGGTGATGCTAGGTGAATCAGCATCATACCTTTACTTGTGGATTTCTACAAAGTTACTTTGGCCTTCCTCTCACATGAAGCTGGTTGTGTGATGCTTGACACATCATTAGTAGCATAGAACAGTGTTCAGCCTCTAGCAATATGCATCTGTTATAAAGTGGTAGAACTGGAAACACAGTTTAGCGACCAGTCTCTAATTATGTACAGTTTTTGCTTTTACGCCGTCCCATACACAAAAATATGCAAAGGTAAAATACTGGGACACAAAAAACAAATCTAGATGCGTCCTTGAGATGCCTAGAAATTCTATTTCAATCTAAATAATGTTAACTTCAGACGTAACTTGTTTTGGTTTGGTTTGTCTTTCACTCGAGAGCACAGTCCAAAAAGCCATGTGACAAGCGTGTATCCAGTCATATTTCTCTTCCATGCCTGTCTGTAACTGCATCGCTGATTGGTTTAAAAAACAGAAATAGAAACGTAAGCCAAACGCAGACCTCGTAACAATATTTTGTCCATATCACTTCCAGAAATGCTATCAGAAGATGCCAAAAGTTTGAGCGAGAAGAATATGAACACCAACATTTAATTTCTTCAAGCATTTTGACTTGATCTACAGGACTTGTGTTAATTTTTAAACCTGATGAAATTTTGCCAATGTGTTCATGAGATTTAGTCATAACTGAAGCTGTTGTTCGATCTAAAATTCATGTCATTATGTATTCTTGATGAAACTTGCAAACAGAAGCCTGAAAATGTCCTTCTAGAATGTTAATAAGCGGCACCATGAATCATCCTGCAGTAATCGGTCAGTTAATGAGCTTGCTGACATTCTCAGCATAATCAGTGCTCTGTAATGGCTGACATTTCTCCAGTACTGCCTGATTGAAACCAGTTAAGCCAGACTTTTCATTTTTTTGGTTGAAAGATTCAAAAGTGAAACATTTTGTCGGGAGGTCTTGAAAAAGTAAAAATGACATGCATTGTACAGGATATTTTTAATCATCTTAAAGTTTGATTTTGCTTGGTTGGTGATAAAATAGAATAATCTTGGTCTGGCTTGGTCCTCATGAATATTATAAAATGCTGGAAAAACATTGTTTTAGTCCCATAAAAATGCCTTGGATTATTTTTATTGTCAAGGCAATCGTAACCGTCGGCTGAATTAAAAAACCTTGTCATTCAGGTTTATTTTTTTTGTATTTTCAATTTTTTAAGGTCAGATGAATGAACCAAGCAAACAAATGTAAGGTCTCCGTGAACTCATGTCCTATATGTTTAGTGCTGTCATTAAAGGCTGGCCGATGGCTCTGTAGATTACATGTAAATACCAGGTACATATTTATCCCTAGGCTCTGTAAAACCTGAATTTTCAATCACCTGTCAATGTGATGAAATTAAACAGTTTTTACAAAGCAAGTGACCGACTTTGACCAGTCTATCTTGCACCAGAAGTGGGTAGTCCAGTGGTCTAAGGTGCTGCTATTGGCTGGAAAAAGTTATGTAATGTAGCCAGAAAGGAATGTGGATATGATAATTGATTCTCTTCTCATATTTTTATGTATTGAGTCAAATTCAGTTTCAGAAAAGGGGTGCAACAAAACTCCCAACATGACGCTACTTTGGCATATTTGTACAACTCATGCATGCAAAATAATTTTTATAACTGGCTTCATAGAATAAATTGTTAAGTTTGCCCTTCAGGCTGCAGAAACTTATTTTAACTGGGCCTTTTTTATTTTTGCTGTACCATTGGCACTGTTATCAGAGAGGAAATTTAAACCTTATTTTGTTGATTATCAGACGTTGCCCACACACTGCTGATAAACATAACAGGAAGTGGTGAGCTGGAAAAATGTTTTACATACCGTATTTGACGTAATATGCGCTTGGGGTGCTCTCAAAATTAGAAATAGGGGGCTCTTATCATATTAGAATATAATTTTGGTGAGAAAAAAGATCGTATATTTCATGGTTTATGCTAACAGCCTGAAATGGTACAAAAGAAAAGTATGTGTGTATTATACACGACAGATATATTTTCCAGAATTCAATTGCCCGTAATTAAGGGTGCATATAACACACAAGTGCGTATTAAACATAATAAATAAGTCTTGTGTACATTGATCATTTGGAAGGGGTGCTAATTGGGATTGTTCACTAGCCAATATACATGTACAGTGTATTAGCAAAATATCGACGTGGGCGCTTATTAGAGCGGCACGCTTATTACGTCGAATACGGTATGTGTAATTTCATGACAGGTTAATGATTTCAGATTTATTTTGAATTGGAAAATGTGCAGAACTGCCCCATTTAGGAGATATGTCGCACATCATAACTGATAGAGACGCAACAATGCCACACTGTAGAGGGAACACTGCCCAAACATGATCAGATCAGCTCCACAACAGTTTGTAGACTGTCTGGTCAGCAGATTATTAGAGATGTTATCAATAACCCTGGTCTTTTATATCATTGTGTGTGATATCCTGAAATTCATTTTTTTAAATACTAATTTAAGAGCAGCTTCATATTTTTCTGTATCTGTTAACGAAGGCCCTTCGTCATAATGAATAAATTGCAGGTGATTCTGTGGCTTTTGATTGGGCAACCAAGCAAAAGATTTTGCATTTTTGTTTCCACAAACAAAAAAGAAAATAGGACACACCCACCTCACAAACTATTGTTTCCTGATTGGCTTGAGTCATGTTGCCGATTTTGTACTGTTGTCTACAGTTTCTTGTGTTAATGATTAAACAAGCAGTCTGTGAAGCTATTATTATGATGTATTTATTTACAAGAATTAACTTCAATTTCTTTGTGACATTTATGGAATTATAAATATAAAAATCATTCTGCACTCTTTGCATAAATCCGCTACACATTTATACCTACAAAAAACGAAGAAAATATTGAAGTCAAATTGTAAGAGGTGTATGATATGTTTATGATATAAGAATTATTTTGTAATGAAAAACGTGGCCAAAATCTCCATAGAAGATATTTCTTGCATCATGGCTGATATATAGATATGCAACACTCTAGACATGAGCACTTTCAAGACAAAATATGACAGAATTTGATTTTGTAAATAATAATGTTTAAATTCTTTATTAAGCTAATGTTGTCTAGGGGGGTTGTCATTGATTGATTAGAAAGTTTAGTATTGTTATATAGGCGCAAAAGTATCACTTTATATCGATTAATAACAAAATTAGTTATTCTGTTTATGTATAGACCTGCATTTAATCAACCTGATGCTAAATATGAACTAGACTGATCCATCAAAATGTTAAAAAATTGAATCTTCTGCCTTCATATTGTCCATCTTAACCAGGGGGCATGGGTGGCCCAGTCGTCTAAGGCGCCGCGATTCGCTGTGCAGAGTTGCGTCCCTTGGGCACGCCAGAAACCTATGATTGTGGGTTCGAATCCCAGTTCGCCCCGATTATGTGTCTGGGTTTGTCAGCACCATATCCGTGCTCGTGGGTTTCACCGAAGTGGTAAACGTCTAAGACATGCATCAATTGGGGCTTTCCTCCCACATTAAGCTGTCACGCCGCGATATAACTGGAATACTGTTAAAAGCGGCGTTAAACCCAACTCACTCACTCCATCTTAACCATGGTAATCTTATGATGTGTAAACATGTCTGTGACAGTGAAAAATTAATTTGTATCAATATTCATAAATTTGTTTGGATAAAGTATGGACATTAAACATTTATAGATACATCAATATAAGGGAGTGGAGTACTCTGTTTGGGTGGGTGGGTGCTGAGTAGGACACACAGTACTACCCATACCTGTGGTTAGTCACGTGATATATTGTTTAATGACAAAAACTCTCTATAGCTCAGTGGTTACTCTACAAGTCACTATTGTTTGCAGACCCGTGAAGATTCCGGGGTAGAATAGGTCTTCAGCAACCCATGCTTGCCGTAAAAGGTGACTATGCTTGTCGTAAAAGGTGACTAACAGGATCGGGTTGTCAGACTCGCTGACTTGGTTGATGCATGTCTTTGATCCCAATTGCGTGGATCGATGCTCATGATATTAATCACTGGATTGTCTGGTCCAGACCCGATTATTTACAGACCGCCGTCCTATAGCTGGAATATTGCTGAGTGTGGCGTTAAACAACAAACCAGCAACCAGACTATTGTTCGCATTTCTGATGATGCACACATTCCTTTTGACTTGTATATGTTCGAGTAAAGATAAAGCTTCAGTCAACTTCAGCATGATCTGATCGTTTTGTACATGTATCTAAATATCTTTTGCAAGTGCTGCGGTAAAACAATACCCAATGACACATTTTGTTCCCAACTCTTCAGATCTTCAGTAGGTATACCTGGGTTGGGTCGGGAAATATAGGGTGTTGGGTACCCGGGTTGAAAATATTTACTCATCACCCCTTAATCAATATCACAATATTTGATAACATCCATAATTATAGTAGTTTGATATTTGTTTGTATATTTTTCAGCTCATACATCAATGATCAACACTATCTTTGTTCGGAGTTACCTCATCCCAGACAAACCCAAGAAGACCAACAGGAGGACTGAAGAGGTGAAGGTCGCTCCTAGTGAGGCCCACGTCGCAACCAACCGTTCTGCAGAGAATCCAGGAATCCAGTACGTCTTCATGCCATCCAATTTTCATTTCGCAATGCCGCTGCAATACACCGGCGTGACAAAGGAAATCATCAACGAGAGAAGTGTTCAAATCGAAGTCTGTATGACACAAAGGTACACAAAGCGGATTTTCTTGGTTGCGATGATCAACATGCCGCTCAAGCTTGCTGTGAAGAAGCTTATACGAGAAAAGATCCCATTAATTCCATGCATGAACTATACAATCCCCAACAACATGAAAGTTTACAGTGCCAGTGAACTGCAATTGGAGAGTAGCCTTGGAGTGTTTTATAGTTCGCCTATGTTGCAAGACTTTGGTAAGGGAGATTCACTGTCTGTGCCTCAGACACCAAGATCCGCCAGTGATATTGAACTTCACGGAATTACCATTCATGAAGAGAAAGTGCCTTCAACGTCCATTAATATGCATAACGGGTCACATGATTTTGACTTTGAACCAGAGCTAGATGAGGTCAAGGTCAAGCGAAAAATTGTACCTGATTTCAGTAGTATAGACATTCCTGCCAGTGACCAGGTGTTGCCAGGTCAATTGGAGGAGGTCAAAGTTCAAGGTCAGAAAAAGAATGGAAAGGATTGTGTGGTGAACGTGGGTTCAGGGGATCAGAGTGCAAACTCAAATCACAAACTCAAGAGAATCAAGCCACCAAAATTCAATGGTGACATGGAGATTGAGATGGAAAATGTACCGAAGTCTGTCCCCAGTCCTGTACATTTAGAGGAAGCTGTTGCTTCTCCAGGTCCATCACGGCCAGAAACTCCAGTCTGGGATTACTACGACTTTGATGATTTTGAGCTAGGAATGGAACCAATTGCAAATGACGTTGAGAGTAACACAGAAAATGGCAGTGATGCTAAAATGGATTACAAAGGTGTAAATCTCAGTCAGTCGGCCGTTGCTGCCATGCAAGGAAAATCAACCTCAAAGGTCAAGGACGTCAACCAACCAAGGTCATATATTCCGACAATAGTTGTGGATGATATTGAGAATGAAGAAATGATTCGATTATAGGTGGTGCCTCATGGAATATATGTTTATCATTGTGAAATATTTGTGGATATGATATGTTGCATTTTTGTGGATATGCAATGAGGTTCTGTGATAGCTTAGTACAAGCTCAGTTCGTTTGTGGATATTCTAGTGCCAGCTTATTCTGTTTGTGGATATATTACTAAATATTCTTTGGTAGTAACACAAGAATTTCCGTTCAGTGCCAGCCACGAAGAAGACACGGCTACTGATATTTTCAAGTTACCTGTGCATATAGTATGGATGTGGATCTATATATATACAGCTATATTTACCAGCTCCTATGGATATAGATATTTATGTGGTAGTGTTATCTTCCAACCCATATATACAACAGCTGAAGGAAGTGCACTTATAGAAAGTCTACAAGCAAGTGTTGTGCCTTAGCAGAGACAATTGTCTCTGTCCTTATCCAATGAATGGCTAGCTTCCAGGAACTGGCCACCATGTGTCGGTCTTTGTCCACTGTCCTGGATGTGAGAATCTCACAGTGTCCAGGCTTACAGGTTGGATGTATGATGCTCCCTGTCTCCTTGTGGATTCAATTGGATGCAATTTCATTTTGTGTGCAAATTGCATCGAAGAGTGAATTATCGTATTCGACATAATAAGCGCCCAGGGCGCTCTCAAAATTAGAAATAGGGGGCTCTTATTAGAATGTTATTTTGGTGAAAAAAACAGAGTTGAAAGATAAATTTCGTGGTTTATGCTGACAGCCTGAAATGTTTATGTACGACAGATATATTTTTCCAGAATTAACTGCCCATAATTAAGGGTGCATATAACACACGAGTGAGTATTATACGTGAATAAAGTCTTGTGTACATTGATCACATGGAAGGGGTGCTAATTGGGTTTGTTCACTAGCCAATATCTTAGCAAATGTTGCCGTGGGCGCTTATTACGTCGAATACGGTAGTTACATTTTTTACTCTTGGCTGTTCTACAAGGAAACCTAAATTATCGTGTTCAAAATTATGGTATTAAGTCAAAGGGGTTCTGACCATGGCCCTGTTCCACAAAGCTATCTTAGTGCTACGACTATTGTAGAACTGAATTCTTAGAAGGTATAGAAGTTGGAGTAACATGAATACATGCCACTGTTATGGATAACAACTTCTTTATTCTTTGAAATGGCGTTTAGGGGTACCCCTTTATCAGGTAAATAGTAAAGATATCAATAGTATTCACTATTGAGTTAAATTTTATGTTAAAGTATGGGAGTTACAATGATCTTTGCATGAAGATTGCTTCACGGAACAGTTCCCAGGTCAGCATCCTGAATTTAAAACTTGGATATTGAGGAGTTGTTCTGTTGTCAAAGCCTTAAGGAATACATTGGGAACACTGATGTTTTTTCAGGCTTTTTGATAAAACTGTGACTAACCTGATTAGAAATGAAACATTTGTGTTGGGTAGAGTGTTATAGTACATTTAACTTGTAATGGCATCAAATTTTCCTCACCAATCTCAAGTAAATAACCTGATAAAAAGTAGTACATCTGTTGAAATTCGTTTAAACAAATTCAAAGAAAAAAGTGATCTGTCAGTAGCCACAGCATTTGGACGCTGTAAATCAGGACAAACCCTAAAACATGTTCAGTGCCTTATCCAGACTTACATCATCCGACTTGGGTTTTGCTTTCGAGATTGTGACGTTGTAAGGTAACACCATTCGAGTAATGCAGTAAATAGATACCAAAATGGATTCTGTACAGGATAAACACCTTTTTAGAATATACACCTTTTCATCTTTGCACTGAGAGCTTTAAACCGCCAAGTATGACCAAGTGTTCTTAGAATATGCCTGAATGGATACCTCTTTTGAGTACTTTTGTCCTGTGTGGCAAATGACAGTGCAGAGTTATTTCTTTTGTATAACAAGGACTTGTTCCTATGGTTACAGTGAAGAGGTTTGGTGTTACATATTGTTGGTTTAAGAAGTTGTTGTGTTAGGGCCTTGTTGTTAAATGGCTTTTAATACAGTATAATGCAGTTAGTCAACTGATCCAATGTGTTTAAAGCTGTTACGAAAATAGTAGCAGGAAGACATGCCGTTGAAAGTTAATTTTACATTTTATGAATGCTCATGAATATTTATGTGGAGACTGAATGTTTAACAAATTTATGCCGGAGCCAGCTGGTCGTTCACAACACGTTGTCATGTATATGTGTACAATGTGCCAGTCTCATGATTGTGTGCCTGTTTTACACTGGTTTACATGGATCAAATACCTTGGAACTTAACCACCTGATTGAAATCCCTGCCTGTAAATTGTTTTCAGGCAAAGACCATCACCCTTCAGATTGCTTCTGGATGGGGAAGGGTATTGGATGTGTAAAGTGTTTCACATTGCTTTACAATGCACAAGACCATATTGAAATACGTATCACAATATATTGTATAATTAAACATTTTGAATTCAGAAGCAATTTGAAACGTCAGTGCAGGATATGAAGTTCACAAATAGAATAGCATAATGTTTAGTCATTCTATAAATACGCAAAGATGCACGCTCCGGGACAGTGATGACTTGGTGTTAACCACTGCCACAGAAGAACTCCAAGAAGCGAACTTACATTATGTAATTACGGAAACATTTCAAAGGTATTTGGCAAGTGGATAACTCATGATAAAAATCACTATTTGAAATCACCCAAAAACCGAACATTAAAATATAATATTGTGATACGTATCATGGTGAAAATAAACCTCAATTTACTATTATACCGGTAATACAGCACACCCCTACTACTGGAGAACTTGTAGAGCAGTTGACCTGTTGTACCAAGTCTCTCTGTTCAAAGTGTCTGTGACCTAAGTTCACCTAATTGAGTGGGCACTGACGCATTATAAGGAGCCTCTCCTTCATTATCTTTTTTTCATGGATTTCCTTATTTAAGCATCCTCAATAATCCAATGTATACTACCCAAAAGACAGATTAACTATAGTAATATGAAGGAATCAGGTGTTCTTTAACTTCTTTTGAGTTGTATATCATCTTCCCAAGGCAAAGGAGTTAACTGACCATAAAAGTCCAGTTTCCACCCTTGCCGAACTAGGCTGGTATTATGGAGTTACATTTTGGCTGGACTAACGAGTCTATGCATAGTCCCATCAAAATCGCGTAATGAAATTGACATCCTGTTCGTAAACTGTCATACAGATTTTGGTCGCGTGCAGGATTTGCAAAGCACGTCTACCGCCAGCTCGGCGTCAAAAGATATTTTCAAAATCATTTCATGTTTTAAATCAAAGTGGTCACGTGATTTGATGCACTTCCTGAAGTAAGACCCGTTTTATTACAATATACATTTTGATTCTCTTTCGGATCATCTTGACTGGGTCCCCCAATTTTGTTTGAAGCAAATGTAAGTGATATGAGAGGTGGAATCTGATTGGTCAATACGATGGACATAGAAGGGACATAACTCGTAATAGCCACTGGTGGCACTACGATCGAGCCCAGAAATTCCAGCCTAGTTCGGCAAGGGTAGAAACTGGACTTTTTCGCAGTTAACGCCCTTTCCACGGGAAGATGGTTGTATATATGTTAAGTACTATATATATATGAATGATGAGTTTATACGTCTTTATCTCAAATTTATTGTATTGTATACATCTTTAATCACTTCCTACTCTTCATACTGATACTAATGTTGAATTGCATGGAAGCACCCTGAACAGCGTGTTGATGCGTCTACAGCTCTGATGACATGACCTTGATAAATGTTTTGTAGGTGAAGAGATGATCTTGTTTAAGTATTCATATTTTGTTTGACCAAATTGATATTATTAATATATAAAAATGCATTCCTTTATGTCTTCATCATCACCAGATACAATGTTTCAAACCATGTGTTTGCTTTCGATCAAGTTAGCATGGAAGCATACAGAAACTGAAAGTTCCTGATCCTACTAATGTTACTGGGTACTGCAATTGACTCTGGTTCGATTTGCCACAAAGGTACAACTTGTGAGGTCCACCATACAAGGTGCACCCTGTTGTAATATGGCTTTTACAGACAAAAACTGCTTCATTGTACAGCTCTTCTACTTGTCACTAAAACAATTACCGAATTTGCTGTAGTAAGCACCCTGCCAATTATTTTGCCAGAGACAAATGGTAATATATCATCAACATTTGACAGCACATTCTTTTATATGATTACCAAATTTGAAACATATCTTCAGGAGGTTTGGGATGATAATAAGTCAATGTTCTAGAAATTGAACAGGGCCTGTTCCACAATGCTATCTTAGCGCTAAGACTGTCGTAAGTCTATGTTAAAGTATGGGAGTTACGATCGTCTTACGGCTACGATCGCTTTGTGGAACGGGACCCAGATCTGAAGCTCTACCTTCTCCAACCCCTGACAAACTGTTAGATGCAGCTAAAACCAAACATTTACATATTTTCTTGTGTATCTTACAGATCTATTTTACAGAAAACAGCAAAGCAGAAGTGGTATATTATTCCCCAGTTACTATTATAAAAAATGTTTCAGTTTTATTGACTGTGGAACCAAGTTTGATAAAATTATCTTAAAAAGAAATTAACTTTGAAAATGATTTTAATGACAGTCCTCATTTACCAATTTTCTAAGCACTCAGGGTACTTTTTACTGTGGATACGGTAGTCATTGTTGAAACACAGAAATAGGTTGACTTATAAGTGAATAATTTATTAATGTAGGAATTCAGGATGTGGTTTTAGGAATGTCAATTTACATTAGGCCTGTGTATTGACCTGGATTTTGTATAGCAATATATTGCCATACTTTAACCTGTAGTGCGTATTGCAATATACCGTATTCGACGTAATTAGCGCCCAGGGTGCTCTCAAAATTAGAAATAGGGGGTGCTCATTAGAATAAAATTTTGATGTGAAAAAAAAAACAGTTGAAAGATCGTAAATTTCGTGGTTTATGCTGACAACCTGAAATGATACAAAAGAAAGGTCTGTGTGTATTATACACGACAGATATATTTTCCAGAATTCAATTGCCCATAAATAAGGTTGCATATAACACACAAGTGTGTATAATACACGAATAAACAAGTCATGTGTACATTGATCAATCGGAAGGGGTGCTCATTGGGATCGTTCACGAGCAATTATTGCCATGGGCGCTTTTTAGAGCAGGGCGCGTCAAATATGGTATTGCCAATTTACATTTTCATGAGTTAATCAGACACCTTAATTATATACTCTTGGTATTGAGAGCAACACAAACAGGCTATCACTGTGAGGAGCTTGATAGTCGCGACGTGTACACGCTAATTGATAAAAAGATCGTCAGGCAAGTTGTATCAGAAAGATACTATTTTCCATCTCCATATCGATTAGGAACACATAAATATACTTATTTATATTTTCCCCAATATATTGCTACATTTACAAACGTATCGCAATACATATTGCCGAAGATTTGCACCACAATATACAGGTGTACCGGTAATACCCCACACCCCCAGTTTCCATAAAGGCTAGGTGTTAGGTTTTCATGAAAGAGCCTGTTTGAAATGAAATTATACAATACTATCAACATGAAGGTGTTTGGAAATAAGAATAGTTTCAAACACAGCATTTTGTTGGGGTGTTAGAACAATATGGGGCAGGTCATTCTGTGAAAGAAAATAATCTCCCAATAGAAGGGAGTAAGAATCCAGGTCGACTCCCTAGCCTTGCTGGCCATCCA